TAAGAAAGTGGCACACGGATTAAATAACTTTGCTGAAAACTTTAAAAGTTTTGCTAAATATTCCTCAATAGGATTAGCTAAACGTCATTTAATTCTAGCAGCAGATTTTTTTTGCTGCAGCACCTACACTTTAATAACTAATAAATTTAGATTCAGCAACAACGATATTAGCTGTCCCAATTTTAAGTACACATCTTAGCTGCCTTAGCTATATTTTAGCTTCATTAGATAATCTTTTTTTTATTATAGTAAAAAGTGAAAAATGTCAAATAGCATGCGCGAAGTGCGCGTATGTAATGCTGGTATTAATGAAAAAATGGGTTTATTTTCGATCATCGTGTGAAATTCAATCATGAATTTGAGTAGACTAATGTGAAGATTATCGATATAGTAAATTTATCATATCAAAAACAGCTAATTTCGGAGATGGTGCACATTACAAAGCAGCAACATGGTCTTAACAAACAAAGTAATACAGAATCATTTTCAGACACCTATGTATCTTTTCTTTTTAAATTAATTTCACACAATATATTCATACATTATAGCAATAAAACGCAAAGCTGCCACTGTCTTTCTGTGATTTTTATTTTAATATTTTATTTTAATTACATTAAATGTTACACGGATTCCTGGAGTCAGGTATTACAATTTTTAAAATTTTTTTATTTTAACAATTTAGCTTTATAAGGTCACACTTTTTATTATTGACAAGCATTTTAATTCTCTTTGTTTAATTATCATATTCTAAAATCTTTCAACAATTTTACTACTATGACTCTCAATTGGCTTTGTGTAACCTGAAGTTAAAGATAAAATTTTTATACACTATGTTAACTTGCATCAACGTGAACTTCCATACGATTAAAACAAAGACTGACGCCGCATATTAGTCTGCATTTTCACATTATTAGATTTCTATTTCATTAAGATTCGTTTAAAGTTTTACCGTTAGACTATTCAAATTTTCGAATTTTTCTCTCTCTCTCTCTCTCTCTCTCTCTCTCTCTCTCTCTCTCTCTTTCTTTACAAAATATTTAATTAATAAATTGTTAACTTTGTGTTGCATATTTTTTTTTGTTTTTGTATAAAAAATATTATTTAAATTGTATTTAAAAGTAAGGCATTCTAAAATTTAGAATAAGTTATTATAAAAGTTCTGCATGCATCTCATACATTAAAATCATTAATTTTCAGGTGCGCGGTTTGGCTACCTGGAAACAAAAGTTGTACTTGTGAGTCTTCTGTCGAAATATAATTTCAAGCTCCACTTCCAAACTCAGGTCCCGCTTATTTTTGAAAAATGTCCTGTTCTTACAGCGAAAGGTGGTGTACATCTTATTATCGAGCCACGATAAATAATCGTGCTTTTATGTAAACTAAAAATATTTGTATCTTGATGGATTCTAAATATATTACATATGTTATTATGTATTATAATTAATAATTTTTGTAAAATAAGGATATCAAATTAGATACCACATACAATAATATGTTATAAAGGCAGATCGGTTTCTATTATTACATTGCATTTCATTATAAATAATAAATATAGCATTAACATGCATACTTTACTTTTGTCTATTATTATTGTTCTCTTATCAGCATACTATTATTTAATAGGAATTATTGAAGGCGCAAAAATGATACATGAACTTATAAGTTGTTTTCACGCTATTAAAAATTTATGAATTGTTGAAGTTGTTATAAATTATGTCTATACATCGTTTTTAGGACAATTATATATAATTATATAAAAACGATGATTACAGAATAAAATACAGATTTCTTCGTGCGTATGATTTATTTTTTGATTTTCAAACATAGTTCTCTCTTAAGTACTAATCGGTTTATGCATATTCCAAGAACTCAAACCAACAAGTAATTTTCCTTCATGAAACAATTTATTTCTCGATTTTTAAGCATAGTTTTCTCTTGAGTGTCGAAGGCAAGGTGTGGTTTCCCTGCTAAGGGGTTGCAGCTCAAGAATCGGTTAATGCATTTAGTTGTTGCATTTAGTTTGCGCGCTTAATGTAAGATTTGTATTACATGCTGACAATTGTAATTAATATTCAATTATATGTATAGATAACGATATTGACTCATCGCGTGCACAACTCTTCGTCGATCTGCGCACTCTCTCGCGAACTGTCGTAGCGTTCAATGCAATAAAGAATTTTGTAATCTTTAGTAACAAATTTAGTGAATAAAATTGCCGCTTTCTTATTTATATTCTAATAGCCCAAGAGTTAGTACATAAAGTTATCTTATCTAGTAACTATTGTCCAATAATAAATCAATGTAACAATAAATAATTTTCAATTGTGTCCAGAATTATTACGTTTGATACTTGATTCGCATTTCGATGATCATTTGAATATTTCTACTATGATTATATACTATGTTAATTGTATATCCGATCATATTCCATAATCGACTACAATCAAGTTAACCTTTTTTTTAACAGAAATATAATAAGAAATATTATTCTTTGCAAACTTTTAACTTAACAATAGGTATTTAATAACTTTTTAGAATTAAATAACTTTTTCAATAGATATTTTGTTTATATGTAATATCAAATATTATATATAAACTTCCTTGCCTTTTCCTTTTTTGACATTAAATATAATATTTATTATTATCATTTAATATTGAATTATTCGTTTAAAATAACATTTAAAAAATAGAAACATCATTTTCCTTCAATATATATAAAGATCCTTCAATATTAATGACGTCGCAATTTAAATACAGAACAGCAAAGAATTCGATTTCGACCAACCTGCCGTCAGATTCCGTCAGCAGTTCCTCCTCGATTTCTGCCGCCAATTAGTTGGCTTAGAATGTTACCCGTTATAAAGTCCGTTTAGTCTGTCGATAGAACGGAAGCAGAATGCGACGTCAGTCAATGTCAGTCTGCTGATATGTTGTAATCAAATCTGTTGCTAGTCTGCTGAAATTCTATTTTACTGTCTGCTTATAACATTTATTGTAGTTGAACATAATTTGTGTACACTTCTACGATCAATCCAGGTAAGAAGATCAAGAATAAAACATTTTTGTAGTTTTGTGAACTTAATTATGTATGTCAAAACGTTGCATAATCTTTACCTTTTTCTTCTCTTCTGTATCTGTAATGCGAATGTGACTTGTGACATTCAGTATACCTATATATTTCGCAGTTAATCATGTCGTAATAAACGTATTATATAAGTATATTTATGAATCACTTAAATTATTTTTCATTACTTAATAGTAATACACTGACTGATGCATATTCAGTTTGGCGTCTTTCGATTAAAACAAACAGAATACAACAAAACTAAGGTAATAATTTTTTATAACAATATCTTTATTGCTAATAAAAAAAAGTCTCAAGTCAACAAGTTATACTGTTTAATTGAGACAACATACACTACAAGATACGCCAGAAAAAAAGAAAAAAAAACAATTGAGTGAATATCTCCGACACAGCCGTTTCTTTTACAATAAGATATTAACAATAAATGTATAAATGTTCCGTTTTGAAGTTTTCGTTATTGTACAAAATATGTCAAAACAGCATCTCTTCGACATTAAGTTATTAAAATTGCGTCGTGTATTGATATCACTTTTCACATTTATCTAATTGATTTAATGATCACAGGGAAAACAATACTCACATGGTAGAAACAGAAACATAAAAATTAATTTAAATTAAGTATTGTTCAACATGTCCACACGTGTAACGCCAGGATAACATATTAATTTCGCTTTATATGTGATAATGGATAGTAGTCTCCTCCGTACTCCGATATCACTTCTTCGTGTAAGGCTCGCTAAACGAATATATTAATAAATATTATACTCTTCATACAAAATTTACGCCCGCGATTCCGAAATGTGACGCGTAAGGTTGCGTATATCTAATACCTCTCAGCGGACAAGAAATCAGTGAACAATAAATAATTTTTAATTGTGATTGTATTTTGACGATCTTGACGACATTTGTCAAATATCAGTTCATTTTTGAATGTTTGTTTTACAATCAGTGTCGGTTAATTAAGTTTAATTGTCTTTATTGGTGAAAACATATAATAATAACGAATTATTTGTCACAAACTTCCTGATACATATCTTGACCAAGTTGATCAAATAAAAGTCGTAAAAATTTATTAATAATAATACTAATTTATATAAAAAATTTATTAATACATTAGTAACACTTTGATTGGCGGAAAATTTTCTTCGGACAAATCCGTAATTACACATGTATTTTCTTTAAATTGCAAATATATTGGCTTTTTCATATCGGCAGGATCTCATTAAATTATTTTTTTTTGATATTTATATGCCCGATGTTATTTATACATGCATTTCGAATAGACACAAGTATCAAATTAGCAGCGGAATACGCACAATTAGTACAGACTTGTGATTCGCGGGTCACTATTCGTATAAGATTCTCAGAAATTTGTTGTTACACGATATGATTCTTCCTTCCTGATTTGCAATTCATAATTGGTCATTCATTATTTTTTTTATACTTTATGATAATAATTCGACAACAATTTATTTTTACTTCAATGATTCTTGTTCTCGAGAGTCTACGTATGTATATACAGATATTTTTTCTGATTTCTACAATTGCAAGAATGCTGTTACGTATTTACTCACAAGATTTCATCACGAAAGATCGACTAAAAATAATTTACCGTAATAAACATTTAATCATCATTACAACAATGGAAAGTTTATTACAATAATTAGCGTTCTCATTTTTTGAGTATGTATACTTATATTAGAAAAATAAATATAAATTTTAATGCGCAGTATAGTATATATGCTGTAGAAGCGATTAATTCATGATAATTCACCCTTTTATTTCGTCAAAAACTCTTCCAAATCGATTAATAAACAACAATGAACAAACTCAATAAATTTGCTTCTTCACAATATTCATGAATTTTATATGAAGCGCAAATTGCGAATTACGAAACACATTCCTATAATTTAACACACAATTCAGCTTTAGTAACATAGAAGAAAATTTAAAGACTATTATTCTTATAAAATATTACCCAATATAAATGTTTTAAAAAAAAATTGTTTATTGCTATTTCAGATTCGCAATGGTACTTGTAGAATTAATTGGGGTTTTCATTGTTGCTTTAAGCATAGCATATATTTATTATAAGTTTGTGGTATTTAATTTCTGGCGTAAAAAGGATGTTTTTTATATTAAACCTGTTGTACCAACTGGAAATATAACAGCTCTCGTAACTGGAAAAGCGCAATTAGGTAAGTATCATAATTTTAAGTAATATTAAAATGCTCATATAAATTAATATGTATTTATTTTTATGTGTATAACTCTCAACATATTTTATTAATTTAATATTTAATTAAAATTTAAAAAAAGAAAGTTAATATTTCAGGGTAAATTTTATTGACGGCCACAAATTTGATATTAATTTACTAAATTAGCATCTACAGTGCATGAAATTCTTATTAAATTAAGGTAAATGTATAGAAAAAGGGAGCCATCTCCGATCTAGATCTTGACATATGTTGTCAAGATCATGACTTTGAGTGACGTTCAAAAGTTTTTAGCCGTCGTTTTGTTAAAAAGTTGTTAATAAAAAAGTAATGAAATTAACGGTATTTATTCACTTTAGTGAAAGCACCTTCTATAATCTTGACGTATATGTTGTCAAAGTTACGATCTTGAGTAATTATCTTCAAGAAATTTTTTTTTAGCTGTTGCTTGTCATTCATTAAAAAGTTATTATTATCTATGTTGAAATTGAATAGTACAATTATAAACCTGGTTTCGTCCCATAAACAAAGGGAGATATGAATAGATCTCGCTTTGCGTGAAAAGTATTATTCCATATAGGTTTTAAATTTCCATGCAAGGTCCATCCCACATTTATTCCTACTTATGGGGCAAAACAAAATCTATAATTGTACTGTTCCACATAAGTTTTCCACGCAAAGCAAAAACCATCCCACACCGATCTCTGCTTACAGGGCGAAGCGAAGTCTGTAATTGTACTATTCCACATCAGTTTTATGATAATAGCTTTTTAGCGAGTAACGAGCAATGGCTAAAATTTCTCGAAAGCCACACTTGAAAGTTACAACATATGTCAAGGTCATCGGAGGTGCTTCTTTAAAATGAATAATTACCTAAAATGAAAATTATTTTTTTATAACTTTTTAACAAAGGACGAGCGATGGCTAAAATATTCAAAAGGTCACAACCTTCTTAGGATCATGATTTTGATAACATATGTTAAGGTTAAAATCATCGGAAGTAGCTTCTTTTCTATACATTTATTATACCTTATAATTATATTTTTATGCTTTCCTTTAAATTATAAAATTGTAATGATTGTATTATGAATGAAGTTTACTATCATTTATTATTTACTCTTATATCTAATTATTACAAACTTCCATTTTTAAAAATTAATGATTTATTCTGTTGCATATTGTATTTCTACTTAAAACAAAAATTTAAACTAATTGAACAAAAAATTTTTCAATAGGTGTACTTTTCCACGATGTCTACATGAAATATAAGCATCATCGCGTTATTGGAATGTATTCACTTTTTAAACCAAACTTGGTGATCAACGATCTCGACCTTATTCGAATGGTGTTGACTAAGGAATTCGGAAGTTTCCATGACCGCGGAATGTATTGTAACGAAAAGATCGACCCATTGTCCAACCATTTGTTTCTTATATCTGGGAAGAAATGGAGAAATATGCGCGTCAAG